TGGAAGACAAAAAATTATTCTTTGAAAAATGCTGCGCTCAGTTATATTCGTGTTAATTGGGAAAAAATTAAGCGAGGTAGAAAGATCAATGAAGTGATAGCACATGGTGATATGGAGTTAATCGATGAATTAATGTATACCATTTGTTTTGGTGTAATCCTTGCGTTTTAATATTAGTAATATTGGGTAGGAGATGTGATTTTATCATTTGAAAAGCATATCGAGTATTTTTTTTTTGTGCAAAAAAAATTATAACAAATTTATTTTAGTTTTTTCTAATAAAATATAAAGTTTAATACATATTAATATTATATACGCCCGTGCATCATGTGTTCTATAAAAAATAGTTAGATCGCACAAACTTAAAAAGGAATCACCAATCAATCGTAACTATGATAACGTAAAAGTTTTATTTTATAAATATAGTAAATATAAATAAATAAAATAATATTTAAAATAAAATCATTATTATTATCATTATCATTATGATAAGTTTATTTTTCTAAAAAAAAATTTATTTTGAAAAATGCTTCGACAACATGATTCAACCATTGACAACGCTGAAACAACTGTTCGAGGCATAATAATAAATAATACCATTGTCAAGGATAATAATGATCAAAATGTTGAAACTAATGATAATGAAAAAAACGATGCAAAAACTACCACCACCATCTCAAAGTCAAATGACCATAATACAGAATATGATAGCTTATCGTCGTCGTCATCATCAATTATCGATGAAGATATCGATTTTGATTTAGTTTATTCAATGCATACATTTGAAGCTACTGTTGAAGGTCAAGCAAGTGTAGAAAAAGGTGACTCTTTAACTTTGTTGGATGATTCTAATATTTATTGGTGGTTAGTTAAATTGACAAAAGAGGTGGTACAGAGTCATTTGGATTAGCAGGCGATACATTGTTATTATTTACTGTTTGTTTGATAGGAATTCCAGCAGGCTTTCTTTTCGATTTATTTTTGTTTGGTGCTATATTGCCACCATTTTTTTTGGCGATTATATTGTAGATTATTAGAAAGTTGATTCATTAGATTC